TCCCTCTCCCTCTCCCTCTCCCTCTCCCTCTCCCTCCCTCTCTCTCTCTCTCCCACCCCCGCAAAGCACTTACCATATATTCTAATTTAGCTGGTTATTTGTCTCCACCTCAGCTCAGAAAGAGGCACTTACCTTATTGATTTCCATTCCCTCAGCACCTAGCACAGCGCTTGCACACGGCTCCTTGTTTGATAAATGTACCCCGGGTGCTCTCAAACCATCACAGTTATTGATACATCTACTCACCTGGTCAAAAACTGCCAGAGAGCCTGAGGAAATCTGCAGTGTTATAAAGCCCCAGATGTGTTAAAGGTTAGTGAGTTATGGGAATTTGAACAGTATTCTAATTAAAGTTTTAATGGTAGCAGAAAAGGGGCCAAGGCCTTTGAGAGCCACCCTTCCCTTCTGCTGGATAAGAGCATGCCCTGGTTGCCATGGTTACGTTGATCCTAAACCAGAAAAAAACCCCACAACAAAACGCTTCCAGAAACAGCTCTCTGAAACCTGCGCAGATGCAAATTTTATAAACCTGGTCAAACGGCATCTTGATAGATTTCTGTCTATGAGATTATTTCAGAAAGAAAACCTTAGCTTGTATTAAGTGGGACACATCATTTGTTCAGACCCTTTGAGGAGGTGGGAGAGGGAGGAGAAGACACCCCCAACCCAGGAAGAATTATGTCTTTATTCCTTTGGAGGAGGAAAAGAAGTGCTTCCATATGAAACTTTATGGAACAGAAATAACCTGAAGGCACAGACATACTTTAAAAGCACAATAAACCAAAGCAACTTGGGTTCAATTTTTAACAGCTTGAAGCTGTATGTGAATGTTCATACTGTTTATTATTCAGTGCTTAGTTGCCAGACATCCCCCAAGAATGTAAACCTCCTCCTAAAATTTAATTTTGTAGGATTGCATGAAAAGCCAATTCAGAATGCAGAAAGCATAGGGACATACAGCTTGGAATCAGCCACTTTATTTGTGCAGTAGATTAAAATTCAAATGCCTTTTGGAGCATAATTAAAAGTAGCCAGTAAGAAAAAAGTGGTAAAATTTGATTATGTCGTTTCACTCATCGTTGGTTTGTTCTCTAAAATAAAACATATAATTATCATTTGGCTTCTTTTCTGTAAGGAGTGTACTTCTAGAATATGCTAATCAAGGCTGTCAGTGTGTAGGGGTCACAGTTTCTTAGAGGCTGTGGGAATCTTAGAGGCCTGCCCCTCCCAATTCAGACACTTGGGGACAATCTTTTTTATTCATTTGTCATAAGATCCCTTTCATATTAAGCCATTACTAACAAATACAGGTTTTCAAATGATGCCTAAATAACTTGGTTTCCCTTCCTCATGTATGACAGCTTATACAGTCATAAATATAAATGGGTGCGTGCGCGCACGTGTGTGTGTTTGTGTGTCTTAAAGTAAGTTCCTATTTGAGAAAATCCCTTTACAGTTGAATTTTCCTCAGATCTCTACTTTCCCTTCTGCTAGTTTAATCTCTGTTACCACCTCCCCCCCCCATTCAGATTTTAGTGACTGAGGAATTTGTTTTAACCATAAAGGGCTAGTGGATTTGTAGCTTTTGAACCCCGTCATTGGTTTGCAGTACAAAGCCTGAATCAAATGCATAATTTGTGCTTACTTCCAACAATGTTTATTGTATGCCTTTTTGCCAGACACGTAAAAGAGCTCTTTGTGCTGAGAAATACTAACAAACATTTAGTGCACACGTGTGGATATTCACACACTTTTCACATGTGGTAAGGCTCCTCTTCACAGCCACTCTGCTGGAGCTGAATCCAACCCCACAATATTTTTCTAAATCTAATGTGAAGCAAATAGTCTATTGTGAGTAACCCTCTCCAGTTGATTATAATGTGAACCCCATTCCTCAGTTCCTTTCCTCCCTTTTCTTCTACATTTTTTTATTGTGGCAAAATAGATATAATGTAAAATTTATCATTTTGGCCATTTTAAAGTATATAATTCAGTGGCATTAAGTACATTCACAGTGTTGTGTGTTCACCACCACCATCCATTTTACATTCTGTGATATGATTCTAAACAGAATTACTTTTAGTGTGAAGCTCAAAAATTCACTGGAGACAAGTGTAGAGAAGTGGTGTTGCAGAGCGATGGAGAAAATGCATGGCAGGAGGAAGAGGGGGATCATTTTCCTTAAAGAATGAAGATGCAACTCTCTTCCCTCTCCCCTTCTCCAAGATGCTCTCTCTGAGCAAAATTTAGCCCTGGTCCATGGATACTTCCAGACAGTTCTACCCCAACTCCTAGAAGAAAGGGAAACCGGGTCCCTGAACTTTGGAATCATGATGCCTGGAAGCGTTTTTTACCGTAGTGCCTGGGACACATCAGGGTGTTAATGCTGAGGGCCACTTACCCATGAAATTGTCATGTAGTGGCTGCATTTAAGCCTTATAAATACTTACTAGTGATGCTACATACTAGCTTTCCTTCTATCCCTGTGTATCACCAGCATTCACAGAGAGATTCATATAATGCTATATAGACATCTACTATATAGATGAATGTTAGGAGATAAGATATTCAAACTCTAGATTAACTTCTCCCTGTATACAAATTTTGTACAAAGGATTTGTACATAATAAACCTTAAAATTTCTGTTAAGAATGGAGACCAGATTTATATCATTTATCAACTAGATTCCAAGCATCTGTTTTCAGCCTCTCATTTTTACCAAGATATGCTTGATACGCTCACAGAATTTCTGCTGACTAGTCAAGGATCCAGTTCAGGCGAAAGTCCCCCTCACCCCTGTGTGATTCATTCACACCAGACAGTTACTGTTGTGTTGGTTGTTGTCATTTTTTTATTTGACAATGTAAGGGAAAAGAGGCCAGTGCCCCTGACTAAATAGTCAGGTATTGCTTGTTTTAAAAATTCTTGCGGCACACTGGTTGAAAATTGCTGCACTAATGCAAGATGTTAATAACAGGGGACACTGTGTGTGGTAGGGGAGGTATCTGGGAACTCTCTGTATTCCTGTCTGTCTCAGAGGGCGTAACTCCTCTTGTTTCTCTCCCTAGCAAAGAGCCCCGGGGAAAGTGTTGCTGGATGCAGTTTGCAACCACCTCAACCTCGTGGAAGGCGACTATTTTGGCCTCGAGTTTCCTGACCACAAAAAGATCACGGTAGGTGATGTCTTTTCGATGTTGCTATTTTATTATCTGTTTGACTTGGGAGAAGGGGGTCATTGGGATCTTTCCTTGAACATGCAGATCTATACAGAGGAAAAACATCCAGAAAGCACTTTTACTCTATTTCTGAAAGTAATGTGTGCACACCATTAGAAAATTCAAAGAGAATACACAATGAAGGCCATCTCCCCCTCCCCCTTTCCCACATCTCTCCCTCCAGAACCACCAGTACCAGTTTCTTCTGTATCCTTTTTTTTATATCTTTATTGATTTCAGAGAGAGGAAAGGAAAGGGAGAGAGAAAGAGAGAAACATCAATGATGGTAGTCATTGATCGGCTGCCTCCTGCACGCCCCTGACTGGGGATGGAGCCTGCAACCCAGGCATGTGCCCTGACCGGGAATCGAACCCCGGTCGCCTGGATCCTAGGTCGATGCTCAACCCCTGAGCCACGCCCGGCCGGGCATCTTCTGTATCCTTCTGATCAAAGCTCATCTATATGTATACATAAATACATATTTTTGAAATATGCTAACGTGAGGGAAGTGTCATTCATACACACACACACACACTCACACTCCTATACTTTTTATACCTTCCCCCATTAATATATCACGGAGATGTTTCTTTTCAGGACATAGAATTCATTTCCTTTTTTATTTATAGTTTCATGCCATTCCAGTGAATCATATGTCATAATTTACAACTTCTATTGTAAATGATGGGATACTTAGGTTATTCCCAATCTTTTGCTGTTACAAATGATGCTACAGTGAACATACTAATATTTTTATATGTTTGCACTCATGGCCAAGTATTTCAGTAGTTCAGATCCAAAGGCATGGACTTACCTCATCCATTGGTTCGACCATTTTAAAGTTTGCTAAATACAGATGGGGCAAAAGTAGGTTTATAGTTGTTCATATGGAAAATAACACAATAATAAATAATAATACAAGAAAAAACTGTGTTTTGTGTACTCACAACTGTAAATTTACTTTTGACCCACCCTGTATGTTATATTGTTCTTTTAGAATGTAGTTTACTGTTTTGTTTTGATCTTTTATGGCTGGTGGCACTTTTAAGCTGTATCTGAATCTACCTTTTATTAGACACACTTTTAGGCTATAAGTTCATTCATTGTATTTCCGTTCATTCTTTTATTCATTACACACTGAGTCCCTAGAGCTTTTGCTCGCCACTGCACTGGAGATCCAACAATAGTAAGATGCAGAGAATGTAGAATCCAGGTGGGGCCTAGAGTTTCTCCAGTGACCAGTGCAGGGCAAGTGACAGGTGCTCCACTGGAGCCAGGGGGCATTGGACAGTGGGGGCAACAAACAACATTCCCAGATATTGCAAAACTGAGCCTCATGAGGCCAGTAGAAGTTGACCTAATGGAAAGAATGTTCTGGGAAGAGGGGGTACCCCATGTACAAAGGGCAGAAAGCAAGTGGTCCATCAGGAACCTGCAAATCAGATGGAGTGTGAAGGAAGGGGAAGAGGGCTGGTGAAGGAAGCCAGAGAGAGGCAACAGTTGAAAGGGAAGGACTTTTTATACCATTGCTGCCCAATAGAAATATAATATGAGCCACATATGTAATTTCAATTTTTCTAGCAGTTATGTTAAAAATGGTTTAAAAGTGAAATTAATTTAAAAGTATATTTAATTTAATATATCCCAGAACATTATCATTTCAACATGTAATCTATATCAGAAACTATAAATAAGATATTTTACATATTTTCATGCTAAGTCCTCGAATCTGGTGTGTATTTGACACAGACCAGCCATATTCCAAGTGGTCAGTAGCTGCACGTAGCTGCCAGCTGTTGTGTTGGGTATGTGCCAAGCTAATGTGTTTGGGAAACTATTAATGTCTCGTAAAGGGACCATGATGTGATCTGATGTGTGATTTAGAAAGAGAACTGTAGCCATATTGGGAAAGAATAAGACTGGAGTCAGGAAAGCTGTCAGGAACTCCTAGCATCTCAGGTAGGAGACTGTGCTGGACAGAACCTAGGGAGAATGACAGGGCTGGAGAGAGGTGGATGAATTCAGGAGATTCGGGAGGGCGGGAGTCATGGGGGTGGTTAGGGATATGATTGAAAGAGGTCTCAGTGTAGGTGGGTTTTCCCACTTTGTTATTTAGGTGGACAGTGGCACCAGTCACCGGAGATGGAAATCCTCAGAGAGACCATACCCAGGAAGAGGAAAAGGCATGAGTTCCACCTGGACATGAGGAGTTGGGGTGTCAGTGGAGATGTCTGGTGGGCAGTACCAGTAGGTGTATTTCCTGGAGCACAGGAAAGAGATCTGAGCTGAAATTCAAGTATCACACAGCTCTTTTAAATAGTAATTGAAGCTCTGAAACTAGATGAGAGTGTAGAAATTAAACAGGAGGCAAGAGTAGAACACCAGTGTATAAGGGATGGACAGACAAGGACAGATAGACAGAGAGGGGAAAAACCAGAAGAAGGAACCATCACAGAGCAAGGAAAGACAGCATTGCAAGGAAGGAGGAACAGACAGAAGAGGAGGTAGGTGGTGAATGAGCGCATCTGTCATGGACCTAGAAATGGGTGCAAATTGTGTTTTCTTAACTTATTCCTACCTCCAGATACTCTGCCAAGTTTCAGTGCTTGCGTTAAATCTAAGCCTCCGACTCCCAGACTTTTTTCTGATGTGGTGAATGACCACAGAGGGGCCACATCTAATTCCACATTCATTTATTTTTCTAAGAATTATTTTGTGCCTACACTATGTCAGTCATCACACTTCATCTCTAGAAGACACATGATATAAAAAGTGACAGCAGGAAGTAGTTATGGTTTCCATTTATTAGAAATGCACAACTTGGGAAGACGGACAGGGAAACAGATTTTACTGCTTCCTTATAGTACTGTTTAGGAATATGTTCAACTGCCAAATTAAAAAAACCCAAAAGTGATGACATAAAGAAATAGTGTTTGTCATACATAATACAAAAAAAAAAGCATCCACATGAGTGGTTACCACATGCCAGGCGGTTCAGTCCCTGTGGAACAACAGTGAACATGGCCCATGTTCTGAAGCAGAGACCAGCAAACTTTCTTTGTAAAGGGCCAGCTAGTCAATATTATATATAGGTTTTGCAGGCCAGAGGGTCTCTGCTGCAACTATTCCTATCTGCCTTTGTAGTGCAGAAGCAGCCCATAGACAAGAGACAATGAATGCATGTGATTTAGTTTCAATAAAACTTGATTGACAATATAGAAAACCATAGTTTGCCAGCACCTGTTCTGGAGAGTAATAAACTCTTCAAGGCATCGTATTAGGTTTACTTACAATATTTTATTCATTCCACACAGGCCCATTATAAACCCCTTTTCTTAAAGAGGTTGAGTCATGTTCGCAAAGGCACACAGCTAGGAAATGATGGAGCTGGGATTTAAGTCCAGATCTGTCTAACTACACAAGCCCATGCTCTCAGTCACCATTCCATTCTTACCATATATCTATATTTTGCTCTCTGTCAATAGCAAAATTCCAACCTGAGAGCTAATTTCATAAAATTTTATAACTAGGTTGTTTTGACAAAATTGATCTATGATGCTAGGTGGGGTGGTGTAAGAGACTGCAGAAGGGTACATGAAGGCCTTCTGGGATCCTGGCCATGTTCTGTGTTGTTTTTTTTTAATCTCGGTGCTGGTTCTTTGGGTGCAATCAGTTTATAAACATTCAGTGAACTGTACACTTATAACGTGCCTTTTATATGTGTGTGTATATAAATCTTTATACGTGTATACATAAAATAAAAGTTTACCCCCAAAATGCAATGAAATAAAAGCACCCAGGAGCAGAAGTAATGACCAAAAAGCACCCAGAGGCTAGCTGATGGGACCTGTTTTAGAAAAGCCAAGGATGAGTCTTGATTGGTTGAACTGAGGAAGAGCCACTCACCTGTGAGAACAGTAAACTCTAGCTGGATTTTCACCTGTGTTCGAAGGAAAGCTGCTTCAAAATTTAAGACTTGTGTCATAGAGTTTTGGTCTCCTTCCCAGATTCTGTCGAAGTGCTGGCTTCCTAGCTGGGTGGTCTTGTAGCGGTAGATGAAAGCAACTCTGCAGCCAGCCTGCTAGCCCTCAAATCGCTGCTCTGCCTCTCAGCAGCAGGGTGACCAGGGCAGGTGGCAGGCCTCACTGAGCCTCACTTTGCTTGTGAGTAGAATGGGGAATTAGTGCCCACCTTGTGTGGTTTTGGAAAGGCTCAAACATGGTATCTATTGGCACGTAACCCTGTGTCTGGGGCCTATTAAAGTGTTCAGAAAGTTAGTTGTGGAAAATATTATCATTGTCATCATTTTTTTATTGTGTTCAAAAACAGATAACATAAAATTTACCATCTTAATTCTTTTTAAGTGTACAGTACAGAGCATTAACTATATTCACACTGTTGTGCAGCAGACCTCTAACTGTTTCATCTTATAAACCTGAAACTCCGTACCCATTAAGTAGCAACTTCCTTTCCCCCCTCCTCCCAGCCCCTGGCAACCCCCATTCTACTTTCTGTTTCTATGAGTTTGGTTACTCGGTACCTCATACAAGTGGAATCATTTAATATTTGTCCTTTTGTGACTGTCTTATTTCACTCAGCATAATGTCCTCAAGGTCCATCCATGTTGTAGCATATGACAGAATTTCCTTCCTTTTCAAGGCTGAATAATATTCCATTGTACAGTCACACCACATTTTGCTCATCCATTCATCTGTTGATGAACATTTTAGGTTCCTCCCACCCCTCGATTACTGTGAACAATGCTGCGATGGACATGAGTGTGTCGTCATTGTGATTGTCATTGTGTGCTGTTGTGTTTATTATGTTCGCCAAGCTTTACCTGAGAGGCTGCTCACATATCTGCCAAAACAAGAGGAAGCGTGGATGGCCTCAGAATGCCCAAATGTGGGCTGTCACGACACTTTTTGCCCATTTATTTGTGCGTGATATGTGGGATA